CAGACTTTGGACATTCCAACAGGACTCAGCACCATCGCACTCAGCACGCGTATTACCCAAGAATGGTTACAAAATGAGGTTCCTCGCTTCATTTCCAGCGCACAAACGCCACCAAAATCTCCAGATACCAGTCCGTTGGACTATTGTGTCTGGAATATTTTGGAAATCAAGGTTGACACTAAAAAATACCAAAATGACGATCACCTCAAGCAAGCGCTTCGCAGGGAATGTGCCAAAATACCGCAGAGCAACATTCTTTCGATCAAGCATGAAACTATTAAACAGCGGATAAAAGATTAACTCGCCATACTGAATTGACCGAAAACAACATCGGCTATAGGCTACCAACTCAATGAATATGTATTCGAATTTTTTCCATATTATTTTGGCAGTTCAATTACAACGGACTCCGCCGGAAAATAGATGAGTTAGTGGAAATTTTGAATCGGAGGAATATTTAAATCGTAGCGATGCAAGATGTCATGTAATGTAAAATGTAGCCTACAACGTTCTTATGATTATAACGTATTGAGCAAGGAGTGTTCCTATTACACCATTCTGTTCAATACAGGTTCAGCTCATTTTAGCTATTCTAAAACGTATTTGGAATGTATGGGGTAGCAGTAAAGTGTGGAACTGCCGGGGTAGAGGTGCTTAATGTGTGTAATCCGCGAGTGAACAGCTTCGAACCGCGTTATTTGTCAGATATTAACACGCTTTTGACCAATGTCCACCACAAGTTGAGGCATTCCGTCTTAGGTAATGACCAGAGGGGATTAACGTTGACAAAGCAGATTGGACCAATTCTGAATGTGGACCGATGAGTTTGCCCCCGTCCGAATGGAAGAAGAGTGTCATAGTTAGCCAGACTTAAGGACGTTACTTGGAAAGCCTGCAATTTCTCTTAGATCAGACCATCTCCCGATAATCGTCTCCATAAGCTAGTTGCCCGATGTCATAACGTCTGAACAGCGCACTTTCCTTAACCGTGGAAAGCTCACTATCCAGCTTTCAGAGAGTTCACTAACCGCCGCGACTGAGAATTGTCCAATTGTGCTTATGTTCGGGTAGCAGAAAGGTTTTTCCGAGACATGCCTAAAGCTGCAGCCGCTCGCCATATACGTACAGGTCGAATATCTAAAATAAGACCAAACTTACCAGCAGAGGCAGTGGACTAGAAAAGATAAGCTACGGTGTCAGCGAACTTACAGTAAAGGCCAAATAGTTGGTACTGGAGCATTAGCGGAAGAAATGGAAGGCCCATCTGAAGTGTCAATCACTCTTAAACCCTGAGAAAAAGGATTATAGGATCGCAGTCACGTTTAATGACGTAATTATGATGGATTCAAAGATACGCTCTGGTTACTGCAATCGTCAATTTGTCGAGTATACAGATAGCGACAGGGCGAAAAGAGGAATACTACGACGTATAAGATCTCATACTGCCGAGGGGGTACCGCCACAGCTTAAGGTGGCTGATGTTACGAATGTCATCCGATACGTAAAGTCATCCAAGGCGTTGGGCCCGCAATAAATATAAATGACATTGTTGAACAAAGGCCCTTTGATAAGTCAAGATAACCCTTTAAAGGGTTGGGTAATCAACTATATGTTTGGGCGCCAGTCGTATATGGAATTGGGAAACAAGAAGTTCACATCCCGCAGAGTGAAACAGGGAGTTAGTCAAGGTGGGGTTATATTTTAGGAACTATTTAACCTCAACATTTTCCGAATTCCGTGCCCTCCAGTCTGTATTGAGATGGTAAAATATGCAGAAGACTGTACGATCATGGCGTCGGGTCCTTTCGTTGATAACATATGCGTCACGTTGTGGGTATTTGATATGAAAATTTCCGTCACCAAATCAATGTGGGCCAGGTCGAACTTTTAATATCCTCCACCTTTGGGTGAGAAAAATATTTTCATATAAAGGTATCTGGATTCAAACATGTTCCACTTTAAACTACAAATCCCAGTAAGACCGTTTGGATAATGCAGTTAAACTTTTCAACTATAAAGTGGGCGAAGCCGTTATATGGGAGCCATAGCAAAACGGGAATCTATACAAACAATTTTATACAATAGTGATTATTATCTATTGCTATTCTTAAATACCGAATTTGAAACTATGTCGTGCGTAAGTGTGACTACGATTATGTCGGTGGGTACCGTTATATAGGGGCTATACGAAAACGTGGACATATATGTAAAATATTCTGCCACCGAAGCTGGTACCCGTTACGAACAACAAATACCATTTTTGGACAATTCTGTGAAAAAATGTGGCTAAAATCAGAATACTGAATATTGGGAGGTACTGTTATATGGTGGGTACCCCAATACCAACCATCCTAGCAACAACACAAACTGTTGTTTGAAGATCTACGTATCGTGATTCCAACAGATAGACAGATGGGATAAGATACCCTTCTTTTCAAGGTGGAGAGTATAATAACGACGAAAACATGTTCAAGTTGTCCGCACAAGCTAGAAACTGGGTCCTAGATCAAGAAGCCTATCGGGCAGATCTGAGCTGCGTTTATACTAATGCATTTACCGATGTAATCAACCACTACTTTACGAATTCAGTCTTCGGACCTCACCCTTTATTTATTGCAGCTAAAGAACGTCGGCTGCCGAGGAAAACTAGAGTAGACTTAGTTCAGTATAGGGCAGCTGTCTGAATTCGCATTGGGCGCGAATTGATGAAGATGCGCGGAACATCTGATCATCGTAAGATACAGTCCCGATCAATACCCTGCATCTATGACCTGCCAAACCTACCCACCTTACTCCAGAGTATCTTTGGCTACAGCCTTTTAGAGTTCCATGAGTTTCTGCTCTTAAATAGGTTTATCAAATTCGATCAAATGATGGTTTTGAAATTTCAAACAATCAAAGCTTCCTTTTGTCTTGTTTTCTTTGTGATTCGAAAGGTTTTTGTTGTCAGCTCCCCATGGTACAATGAAGAGAAGGTAGGTCAACTTTGAAAAAATTGCAAATATAGAGGTCTACCTGTTTGGCTTGTAATGTCAGAATTACTATCAAAACAATAAAAAAATCAAACAACTTGTTGCATTTACTTTGAATAAATAATTGAAAACCGCGAAAACTGAATGAAAAGTCAACACTTCTTTTCAAAACCAGGTTCTATATATCTTTAAAGGATTATTTCGCTACAAAAACTCTAGATTTTGTCGATACATACGATGAAATAAACATTTTGAAAACAACCGAATTTGAATATTTTCTGAACAATTTTTTTGTTATTGAAAATAAAACACATACACAAACAAATAAAGATGACATATTAAGCCAAGAAAATAAAAAAATTGAAATCATATGGTATCATAGCCCTACCTTGATATCATTAGTTGTGTTCCAGTACTTTTTTAGTAGTAAAACTAGCAGAAGAGAGAACAGTTCGAAATGTCATTCTCAATTAGGTGTGCTCAAAAAATAAGGGAACGGAAAATTAGCAGAAATGCGATAAAATGTCAAAATTCAAAATTCCAAGAGTAAACAGTCCAAATCGGACTGGTGAAACCTTACTGAAACGGACGCCAAAATTTTAAAAAAATAGTATTGAAGACGATACGTTAAAATTAATAATCTATAATAATAATTAATAATCTGATTCATCTTTCAGCCAGTCCTCTTCACTACTGGAATCATCCAAAAGTGCTCCATATTTTTTCTTTTTGTTTTTTTTTGCACTACAAATATTAGTTTTTCCTTTAGTTTTTAAGATGATCATTTCTTTATTTTTGTTATGACGCGGGAACATTGAAATGTATCAATACATTTTTCAACCTTGTTAGCCCTGCCAATTAAATGTCAAATTCACAATTTGCACATTTCTGCTCGGCCAAATTCATGTAGCTAAAACAAGCAGAAATGTGCACCACTCAGCGCCATTTTTTTCTCGAGAGAGCTGCAAGTTTTGCTAGCTTTTGCAGTACGGGAACGCGTTGTAGCAGAATTAGTACTAATTAGTACTAATTTGTAGGTTCTGGAACACAACTATTGTACCATGTAGCTCCCTTAGATTTGTATCTTAGTTTGAATGTGTAATTTTTATTAATTCTAGGAAATAAATAATTCTCAAAACTGTTTTCTATTTGCTGTGAGGGATAAAATTTGCCGCCAGCTTTGATATGTCAATTTTTTTTGAGGTTAGCCCTGATTATATCGTCCGAACTGAAATATGCTAATGTCAAATCTTGTGTCAGAGTTTTTCTTTTGCCCATCTTTCGCTTTTATTTAATTTTGTAATTGCTGTTAAATTTTTACTAATCTTTCACTTCACAAAAATCTTCCAGAAGAATGGTAGTAAAGGTAATAAAAACAAACTGGAAAGAGTGGTTGTCTCCTGGAAAAAGGTACAAAAACTTCCGAATTGTTCTTGCTCGTTTTTGTTAATTGGCACAAGATCAAATCCAGGAAATTACGACTGGGTTTGAAACAATCGATTGGCTTTATCGATTTATAAATACACTGAAAAGCTTATGGAAAGCTTAACAATTAAAAAATATATACATTTTACTAAAAACACTAATCGAAAAAACAACACACATTTATTGATTAACAAACATTTTTTTTATAATTACATTTTTCATTTTTACTCTTCCCTCACCAGCTGCATGCTTTTGTTATTGGCACATATTTTTAGAAGACCAACTCAAACGTCATGCGTTTTCTGTATCATTATTCGAAGTTTTTGAAAGGTTTTTTTACCAACTTCCCCAAATGGTGGTAAGGATCTTAAATGTTGCAATGCTTAACGTTTGTGTTGGTCTACTATCCCAAAATTATTTTTTTCCAAAATCCTACAAATCGAAGGGAATTAATTTTTGATCCCTTCTTTTGTAAAAAAAAAACTTAATAAATTTCCTACATATGTACACATATGTACACATATTCTACCTTGACGATAGAATATTTTGAACTTGTTTTTTTGTATTTTGTTATAATAATATTGTTGAACGAAAAATTTTGAATTTTGAAATTCGTTCCGTATTAAGAAAAAATGTATTTTTTGATTTTTGAAAACACAAAAATTGTTCTACGAAACCGAATATCCTCCCCCCAAATTTCCCGACAATCCCCGCTGTAAACTCTGTTTAATTTGTTTCCCAATGGACCCTAAATTCAACAACCTAAAATGGCTACTGACGCTGACGAAGCACAGCGTCGTCGTGAGGAATGCGAACGCAAAGCAAGGCGTGGGGAAATGGATCCCCGTTTGGAATTCACCTTTCAGCTGTTGATTGATGCCACGCAATTACCGCGCCATCAATTGATGGACTACATCTTTGAGGGTGATATGGTGAGATGTCATTCTTTGTTTAATTTGTTGCTTTCTGAAATGTTGGTATTTTTTTTTTGCAGTTGGATGAAATCAATCAACTTTTCTTGCCCAATATGAAAAATAAGCTATTGTGGTTTTTCCAGGAGGTCGATGAACCCGAACCTCAACCCGTTCAAGATCCCAATAAGCCGGGACCATCACGTTCGGGCATGACTCCGAGCACGTCTAAGACGCCTCAAGGTATGTATTTATTTTGTTGAATGAGTAAGATGTATTACAAGTATATGTACAGCGCCTAAAGTCTTCTACTTCGTTTGTATTTGGGCCATATGCCAAAACTTCCAAATCGAAGCATATTTTTGCGAATTATAATTTGAAATGTTAACTTGTAGTACATTAATTTGAAGAAATTTTGCACAAACACCAAATCACAACCTCTTGGAATGAAAATGTGACCAGGACAAAACATATTGTTTTAAAATCAGCTATTCAAAGTTACAAACGTTTTTTAAATTGTCACTAAAATCGGTCTCAAAGCTGGCACTAAAAGAAAATATAATTAATGATGGCAAGTGCTCATTGCTTCGTCAGCGAAAAGTTCACATTTTTATACCCTCAGCCATATGGCTAGAGAGAGTATATATCATTTGATACCGTCAAAACGTGCCTAGTCGAAATAACGGTTTTAGACCCTAGGTATCTTTGGGCCAAATCCGATTTAGAACATTTGCGCACGATAACTCTCGAAAGGAGTATCCGATTTGGTCCAAAATTGGTACATCGTAATATTTTTGTCAAACTTGGATCGAGTTCGGAGATGGGCAATATCGGTTTACTCCTTCTGGTACCAACCAACAAAACGTTCCAATTTTCAAAAAAATTTATATATTTTCTGTCCAGAAAGAGAAGGGTTTTTCCGAATTTGTTCCAACTTTACAAATTCTAAAATTTCCATCTGTGCTAGGTCAGGTGCGAAAATGGAAATGTGATGTAAGAGTCCGATTGTCTTCAAATTTCACACATCCCAATATTTATATTAGCCTAAAGTCTGGTGTTAAGATGGAGTATATCAGTTTTATTTATATTAGCGTAAGGTCTGGTGTTAAGATGGAGTATATCAGTTCACTCCTTCTGGTACCTCCCACACAAAAGATCAAAATATTCAAAACAAAAAATACTTTATGCACAGAAAGAGAAACGATTATCCGATTTTGCTCTAACTTTGCAAATCCCAATATTTCCATCAGTGCTAGGACAGGTGCGGAAATAGACAATATCGGTCCACTTCATCAAGTACCTCCCTCACAAAGGGTCAACATTTTGATTTATTACAACTAACATTTTTGAGAGTAAGAGTCCGATTGTCTTCAAATTTCACACATCCCAATATTTAAAATTTACTCAAATGTGTGCTTGGTCTGCAGGACTTTTGGTATTGGAAATGAGCTATATAGGTCCACGTTTCGGTATAACCCTCATATAACTGTACCTTCCAAAATTCGGTATTTTGATGATCTTACGTCATTAATCACCGGAATTATTTAACATTTCGAATTTGTAGTACGTTATGGATGCTACAGTTTGTTACAGATAATTGGCTATGCGGAATTTCTATGATTTTTACGTTATAATCCACCGGAATTGTTCAAATTTTCGTATTTGCAGTTCATAATGGGTACTACAGCCTGTGATAAAAATATACCTTCTCGTATAACCCCATATATCGGTATTTCCCTATTTTCGGTATTTTGATGATTTTAGTTTAACATTTAGCATTTCCAATTCGTAACGGCTACTACAGTCTGTGAAATAAAATTGTCTATGCAAGCCCAGGTTTTCGTATAGCCCGCATATAACGGTACCTCTCTATATTCGGCATTCTGATGATTTTAGCGACATTATTACCGAATTTGGTTCACATTTTGTATTTAAAGCTCGTAATGGGTACTATAGCCTGTGACAGAAAATTGGCTATGCAGGTCCACGTATAGCTCCTAAATATCGATACCTCCCTATATTGAGTATTTGTTGAGACATTTTTCAGCGGAATTATTTTAAGTTTCATATTTGAATATTGTAATGGCCTGTGACAGAAATTGTCAATTCAAGTCCACGTCTTCGGATTTTATTATACCCTCAGCCATATAGCTACAGAGGGTATATATCATTTGATATGGTCAAAATGTGCCTCAACGAAATAACCGTTTGTCTGTCTGGCTAGTGCGCTCAATCTCGAAGGTAGTATCCGATTTGGTCCAAACATGGTACATTAAGATCGAGTTCTGAGATGGGAAATATCGGCCCACTCCATCTGGTAGCTCCCTCACAAAATGTCAATATTTTCAAAGAAAATAATTTACTGCACAGGTAGTTTAAGGATAATCAAATTTTGCTCCAAATTTGCAAATACTAGGTTTGTGTGGTCTGGTGTGAAGATAGAATATATTTATTCACTCCTTCTGACACCTCCCCACAAATAGTCAAGATTTTGAATATTCATGAAGCTCATAAAACGCGATATCATTCCTCTGATTTCATTCAAACATGGCACATCTCAATATTTCTATCAACACAAGATCTGCTATAAAGATGGGAGAGACGGGGCCATTTCTTCTGTGTACCTCCCCCACACGGGGATCAAGATTTTGAAAAACAAAACGCTGAACGTTTTGTTTCTTCAAATTTCACACATACAAAGAGTTTTGCTAACACAAAATCTGTTGTGAAGATGATATATATATGCGAACTCCTTCTGGTACCTCACCCACAAAGGGTCGCAATTTTCAATACTTTTATTTGGCACATCTTGCGAAACAAGTCTGTGATTCTTTACAATTTGCTATATCTGAATATATGTCTCTCAACCAGAAACCTGAGATGAATATGGAATTTATTTCGATTGAATATAGTTGTTCGATTTTTTTTTGTAATTTTTGCCCATAATATATTCTATCTGGATTAGGTAAAGTATGAAAATGGAATACTTTCCCCACATTTTGACATTTTCTAAAAATTATCACATATCTATATCTATAAAAGAGGAAAATGTTTGTTATATACATTTTTGAATTTCCACTTGGAACTGGAGATATAGCATCAGAATCGGAGATACCTCCCAAAAATTTAGATTTTATATGCACATATCTATTGATTGGTTGAAGATACAGTCTCCAAATTTGGAATACGTAACGGAATTTGGAACAAAAATAAGTTTGCCAAATTATATTGTAATCGGTTCAGATTTGGATATAGCTCCCATATATATTTTCGACCGATTTCATTCATTTGATGCGACAAACACAATATGAATGTTCGATTCCAATGAAATTTGGAATGTGTGACGAAATTTAATCCGAAAATAAATTTGTCAAATTATATTGAAATCGGTTCAGATTTGGATATAGCTCCCATATATATTTTCGGCCGATTTCAAGCAACTGATGCACCATTTTCGTCCGATTTCATGTATTTGGTGGACCAAACACTATATGTATTTCCAATTGTAATGAAATTTAAAATAAGTAACGGAATTGGGAGCCAAAATGAATTTGTCAAATTAAATTGAAATCGGTTCAGATTTGGATATAGCTCCCATATATATTTTTGACCGATTTCATGTATTTTATGCACCATACACGATATGTATGTTCGATTCCAAAGAAATTTGGAATATGTAACGGGATTTTGATTAGAAAATAAATTCGTCAAATTATATTAAAATCGGTTCAGATTTGGATATAGCTCCCATATATATTTTCCGCCGATTTCACATATTTGATGCACAAAACACGATACGTATTTCCGATTCCAATGAAATTCGGCATGAGTGGCTAAATTTGGTACAAAAATAAATTTGACAAATTATTTGGATATAGCTAACATATATATTTCGGCCGATTTCATACATATTATGCACCAAACACGATATATATGACCGATTCCAATGAAATTCAGAATGTGTGGCGGAATTTTGTTATAATAATAAATGCGATAAATTAATTGGAAATTAGTTAGGATTTGGATATAGCTCCCATATATATATTCTCGGCCGATTTCACATATTTGACGCACCAATTTCAATTAAATATGAAAGGTGTGGCGGAGTTTGGTGTAAAAGTATTTTTTTTTTTAAATTATATTTAAATCGGATCAGATTGGGATATGATTTTAATAAGAACCATTGACCCACAACGCCTTAGGCTAACACTAAAAAACAACACAACAATTTATTTGAAATACGCTTATTACGGCGAAGTATGTTGCTATCTCGAATTCACTAATTGCGATAGGAATGCCACTCTACTTAAAAAAATTGCAGTTTACTGCACGCTTGGTATTTTCTATGAAATAAATAAATCCGAAAGACAAACCCTTCGTGTATGTAGGTCATGTTACTGCTTTTCTAATGGTTTTGGTTATTTACGCATTAAAGTAGTGCAATAATTTTTTTTTAATTTTTAAATTTGTTTTTTTTTTTTTTTAACCAACATATATTCGTAAATAAAATTTTGAATGCATATAAAATCAAAAGGGGTAGCGAAGCGCACCGGGTTCAGCTAGTCTCATATAAAGTGAAGGAAGTAACCCATATACTCGCAATATTTATATCATATATTTTTAAGTCCCATACGAATAGGACAATATTGACTCATTCCTTCGGAACCTACTCCATAGATGGTCAACAATTTGAATAATCATAACATATTTCAAAATTATCTGTCGGCATAACCGACTAATACTTTTTAACCTGTTTATATTTTTTTCGGTGTTCCGTGAAGCATAAAATCAATATTTTATTCCGTACCCGACCGAAGGGAGTGAGTTGAATTTATCTTTTCTCAAATGTAGATTTCATACCCTTTTTTTGAAGCAAGTACTCTTAGCTGTAAAATACTCCTATTTAGATTGTCTTTAGGGATCAAGACCTGAGAATAACCATTTGAAATTAAACCGATGTACACATGTACCCCCATATCTAAAAATTTTGGACAGTGGAAAGATATCAAATGATGGATCAAATGAATGAACGAATTATATGATTGCACGAGATTACTTTCCTGGTTCCACCATAAATACATTAAAAATACAACTTTTTATTTCGTTAACAGATCGATTAAAACTTTCGAAAAAGTTAGAAAAAGCCATGAAAACGTTAAGCACAATATGAAGTAGGAATTTATTTTGTTTCTATCCTCACCATCTCTCCAAAAAGTTCCAAGAAACACTTTTAAAATGTGTCTCATTGCCAGGTCCAGTATGTTTTCCATTGTTTCAGCTGGACATATTTTACATTGACGGGCTTCTATAAACATATGTACATACATCCTCCAAAGAGATAAAAGCTTTCACAAGTATTTCGTCGTTGATAACTGGCCGTATTTAAGCCGTAATGATAAAAAGGAATAATGCAGTCATGCTTTCCTTTGTCGCATTTCCCATTCATTGTGAGAATATTCATCATTCTGCATTAAAATAATTAACTCTTTAAAATTTTCCTCAAAAATCAATATTTCATCATAATTATTGTTCATATGAATTTTGCCATTCTTCATTTCCATTGCCATTCCATTCTCACAAAATATAACCAAAAAAATATATATATATTTATTGTTCACATTGTCAATTTCTTTTTTTCTTGTATTTCATCTATGGAGGCGGTACATCACCGGGCGGTTCGGCACCAGCAAAGCAGAAAAAACTCTTTCTCACCGATGGTTGGACTTGTGCCTTTACCGGAATATGTATCTACATATTTCGCATAAATACCAACAAACAATTGCCTGAGGAAGGATTTCAAAAGGATTTGTGAGTAAAATGAAAACTTGGGTTTTGTTTGTTTTAAATTCCCTTAATAATGTAAATATTGTGAAATATGAATTGTGGAAGGCCTTTGGGGGAGATTAATGAGTCTGCATGGCGTTACTAAAAGCAAATTTTTTTGGGAATAGAAATAAAATGGCTACCTATTGTTGAGTATGAGAAGTTGATATTAACATTACCTGAATTTGTCACTTTTCTACAGATTCTGTGGCATAATCGATGCTAAAAACGTGGGGCTGGTCACCTCGATTGAACGCATCATTGAGTACGTCTTCATGCAAGCCCTGGCCTTTCCCAGTCTGGAGGGTGAGGAAGAAGATGTCAGCTGTGGCCTTATCAAGGGGCAACTGCTGCCGGGACTCCGTTCATTCTGCAGTGCTTTGCGGGTTTGTGAGCAAGTTTGCGATCACTTCAATGTTTTCGACGATGGCTGTGATATGTTCGATCACATCAATCATGTCGAAGAACTGAAGGATTTATCTAAAAATCAAGAATTTTGTGGGCAGCTCGAGGAGAGAGTAACCAATTGGATTAAGGGTATTACGAAGATACTAGGGGAATCGGATCAGTTGCGTAAAGAGAATGATTCAAGTGGTCCTCAGGATGAATTGGAATATTGGAAGAAACGTGGCGCCCAATTCTCTCAACTGCTGGCCCACCTACAGACAAAGGAGGTACAGTACACCCTACATTGTTTGCTCTTGGCCAATTCAAAGGTAATACGTGATTGGAAGGAGACCGATCGTAAGATAACATTTTGCTACAATGAGGCCAGAGATAATTCGAAATTTATCCAAGCAATGGAACATTGTTGTCATTCGTTGTATTTGGATGATCCGGTGAGGAGAATTACATATTTCAATATGGTTTCAAAGTAATAATTTAGATTTTTGATTTTTCAGGTCTGCATGAAGGAATCGATTTTAAGTCTTCTACAGACAGTACGCTTGATCTATAGTGTCTCACAATTTTACAACACTTCCGAAAGGACTTCAGCACTAATGGTAAAAGTAAGTCGAAACTGTTGAACGGTAATTTCCCTCTACTCTGGGGATACAAATGTATATGAGAAATGGGGAGTTGGGGATATATATTTTATCGATAAACGGCTTAAGGATATGCTATAATCACAGCGGCGGCGATCTAATAAGAAGTTTCCAACTCTGCTCCACTGTGTTCATGCTTGCTACCAAGAAAATAAAGAAAGAAAAATAAATAGCCATTAGAAATCTTTCATTAGGGAACTAAGAGGCCTGATCAGTGTGAGGGCAAGAAATGCTCGCTCGAATTCGAGTGGAGAATGAAAATTGATCTATTCGAGCGCGAGTAAAAAGAATAAATCGAGTATAAAATATTTTTCTTCACCACTCGATTAAGAGCGAATATGCTTTGCTCGTTGGAGGTTAAACAGTTTAGGAGCTATCGCCCACTTTTCGTACTTAGTACTTTTTGTATATTCATTATCTGACACATTCACCTTGATGGATCCTTAAGTGAGTCAGTTATTTAATCTGTCAGTCAGAAAACTACTTTACTCTTTTATTAATGTATTTATAGGTACGAATTTGCAAACACAAAATTTAGTACTTTTCGTGCACATAAGTGTAAATTTAGAAGACTTTCTTCATATTCCTATTCTACGCTCCGTCAATAATGTTTATTTCAAATTTCCGAATTCCATCTCCTTCCGTTTCAGCAAATTCAAATTGAACTAAATTTAGTACCGTTTAGAATTTATTGTATACACGAGTACATACTTCCAAAACTACAACCATACATCGACTCTACTCCTCAATATTGATTCCCATTCCAAAATTCAAGTTTTTAGCTCTAACCATTCACCTGCTACGAAATGGTACCAAAGCAGTTCATTTTAGTACTTTTCGTACATTTATAGTACAAATTTCCAAAAGCCATTTGGTATTTTTATCATACACTCCATCAGTGATCCTCATTCGAAATGTTCTAGCTCTATTTCTCAAATTCAAGGGGTACCTTTTAATACTTTTCGTAACGTTATAGTAAGCATTTTCAAAAACCCAGCCTTATCTGACCCCTTCGACCAAGAGTGACTCTCACCCTGGCTGAAAACGTACACAACGTGGTATTCTTCTCTTCGTTCTCTGACTCTCAGAGTGCTCCATGAGCTGCCGGTTATAATAACACTCTCTATCTCTCTTCACATCTGTCATTTATAATCAAATCTAATCGGTTGCCGTTCGCCAGCATCAGAGCGGAAGAGGTGAATAGCCCTCACTCTTATATAGCTTATCTTCGAATTGGTACCTGCGGAATAGACTTAGAACTCTGTGGAGAGCACCACTCTCAAAGGGGCGCTTGTCGACGCATCGTATCCCGACCCCTGTGCAATGTTGCATCATGTTTGAAGCCGTCAAGGCGATAATCATGTAAACCCCCTCAGCATCATGTCACTTATATGCCGTTAAATGAGGCAGACATCTGATTATCCCTCTTCCACGACTCGAGAGCAAATTAATAGTTTACCACAATTTATTCGATCTGATACTGGTGCTGCAATTCTTCAGATGTTCTAGCCACATTTCTTTGCTTATGCTCGCCAACTAGCCAGAATCAATTATTTGACTCAATGATATTCTAAATCGATGGACTGCCAGGTTACATCATATGTCAGACCTGTAAAAACGGTGGATATGTCCGCTGAGCTGTGGCAATCACCCCTTATCCTACGAAGTGCGTTCTCTTTCATAGTGCAAAACGTGAAGCTATCAGCCAGCGTTACGTCTCTCCGGTCATTATCTAGGACGGCACCAGACGTTCATTTCCTTCCAAGAGAAAATTAGTGTTGGACCTGTAAAATAACTCCGCGACACAAAAGGGACAATGGCGCCCAAAGTGCTCCTTAAGTGATTTTAACCAAAGCGGAGATTTGCACGATTTCACTCAGGAGTGAAACTTGCTCGCTAGCGAGATTGCTCGAAGTGTAGGAGTTTCATATGGAGATTACCCTCCACTCTTTTGTTTAGTGTGGGAGCGCCCCCGAGTCACTCCTGTTTGAAAAATTAGAGTAGGAGTCGTATCGTTCGGAATAGTGTGGGAATTTACTCTAAGAGTGAAATCGAGTGGAAAATGGAAAAAGTTTTTGGCATGCTGGTTTGTGTATCCATATGTGTGTAACAGCAAATCGGTTTTGATGTTGCTGTGAACTGTGGGAGAGGAAGGTGAGAATAGAAAAACGGTAGAAGCAAGGTTTTGTTTCGTTTGTAGATGTGGATAAAAGTCGAGTTTTTCTACCATTCTAAAATGTTCTTCAATGTTTTCCGATGTTGAGTGCATTTTACTCCCAATCGAAAACTCGCTCTTATTTGAGTAGTTTTCTCGATTTCTGCTCACAGGAGTTCTTCCACTCGAATTTGTTCTTGCTTTACTGTAATTCGAGCGAGCTTTTCTGAGCTCTCTTCATGATGTTTGTTGGCCCAACTACGTTCTGGGTGGTTTAGCCGTCTCAACTCAAATTGGAGACTCTTTGATGTGTATACGCAGTACATGGGTTCAGTATGCAGTAAAGATCTGTACATCATCCAACACGTCTTGCCAAATTCAACCAACTGTCTTTCTAATGTTCTGCTAGCAAGAGCCTTATGACTGTCATCTGCGAAACCTATGGTGTCAACCGTTGAATCGCACGCATATTATTTTCATCTTATTAGATAGTATTAGCTCGTATCATCTTCTCATTTGGGCGCCATGCCTCCATTGTTGCATAAAGTTAAAATAACGCGTACTCCCGTAAGTCCTGTGAACTACCGTAAGTTGGTCTAACGCCTTAATTGAAGATTGCAGTCAGTGTGTTGCCGCTTAGTGCAACAAAAGGACGTGGCGCCCAATTAGGAAACGCTTTATGTAATTTTGCTAATTCTTGATTTACTATCACTTTTCTTTACATTTCCCACCAAATTGATGATGTTCTTTTCTCTCTCTCTCTCTTTTCTACAGATCACCAATCAAATGATAGAAACTTGCAAATCCTACATCACCTGTCGCTGCAAAGAAACCATTTGGACACAGGACCGCACTTTAGTACGCACCAAGCTAAGTAATTGCATTAAACTGAATCACATTTATCACGAGACCTATTACACCGTACGAGAGCAACCATTCTTACCCAATCAAACACCATTTGGATTTTCGGAGAATTTTGTTTTCGGAAAATTTGATACCTTCTGTGAGAGATTATCAAAAATTACATCCATGTTTAATTTGATCGATGACTATAATCATTTGTTTGAGCGTCGTTTGGAGGGACTGTTGTTGGCCGAAGCTTTGGAGGAGGCATCCAATCATTTTGAGGAAGCCAAGAAGGAGATACTCTCTAAGAAATATGATTATTTGGATCATCGCAATGCAGAATTTAATGATGATTATGAAAAGTTCATAAGTAAAACGGATGTTCTCAAGGATACCATTGCTACGTTGATAGAGACCAACTTTGATACGGTGTGGGAGACACCCCAGTGCATAAGATTTTTGGTCCGCTTCGAAAAGGTGAGCGAGAAAATACCTCTCACCAAAATGGATGAGAAATATATGAGGATAGTCCGCTATGTTGACAAAGAGGTGGAACGTGTCATCAAGTTGTTTCGCAAACATCGCGATGATCCTCCGGTGCAAAGGAATTTTCCACCAATTGCTGGTCGTATCTACTGGAGTCGTTCGCTACATTGTCATATTCGAGAATTGATTGATTCGGTTTGTGATCATCCGGTTTTGGGTGCTTTACCACCCACCCGAGATGTGGAAATACGTTTCAATCATGTCGCCAATTTGTTGGGAGAATATGAAGATGAAATTATAGCCATATGGTTGGATCAGGATGTTAGTGTGGCCGATGCGTGTTTGCTACAGCCTTTGCTGTCGTTGCAGGGTGATCGCATCTTTGTTAATTTACATCCCACCATACCATTGTTGATACGCGAGGCAAAGTTGTTGGCTAAAATCAAAGTTGATCTTCCTATTGTTGCGGCCACACTAATGAGTCGCCAGGATTATTTTATCACCATACAGGATTCATTGAATGTGAGAAGACGCATTTCTCTGTATTTCAGATTTTGAAAATATTATTTTTTTAGAATCTCATAAAAATGTTTTTGACCACGGTCAGAGCAGTGAAATTGGAAGTCAGGCCACTGTTCTTGCCGCAATTAGTTCGTTTGACGGCCATGTTGAAGCCAGGACTAACAACCATCAATGTGAGTAGATAGAGCCTTATTCTCTTAAATATTTCTAATTATTATTTATTTGTTTGCAGTGGACCGATCAGAATTGGAGCAAATTTTACGAAAGATGCAAGCAAGCTATTGAAACTTTTGAAGTGCTAGTGGCTCGTATCCATGACATATACTCGAATCGTATTTTACATGTTCTCATGTGTATGCAGGAGATTAAGCTGCAAGTTTTACCAGGAGGTAAGTTTTTGGGCAATTTTCTGACAAGAAAATTACCAGAGGATTAAAATTAAGATTTTTCTAAAATTTTGAAACTTTTGTGGGGTCTTAGGCAAAAATAAGCCATTTTAAGAAAAAAATGAAGACATTCAGAAAATGGGGTTTTGTTAGGTATTTTAGTTTTCATCTCTAAAATAAACAGAAAAACCCGATTCGATATAAGTTTAAAGTTTTTATATGTTTTTATACCCCCCACCTTGAAAAGGAGGGTATATTAAATTTGTCATTCCGTTTGTAACATTCCTAAATATTCATCGTAGACCCCATAGAGTATATATATTCATGATCAGGATAAAATTCTAAGTCGATTTAACAATGTCCATCTGTCTGTCTGTTAAAATCACGATACAGCACACTTTATTTGACGCAGAGCTTCAAAATTTAGCAGAACAATTTGTATTGTGTCTAGGATGATTGGTATTGAAAATGAGATATATTGGTCCACGTTTTTGTATAGCTCCGATATTCGGTATTTTGATGATTTTTGCCACATTTTTCACGGATTTGTTTCAAAATTGTTATTTATGTGTCATAATGAGTTCTAGCTTTGTTGGCGAAACATTGTATGTAGGTCCACGTTTTGGTATAGCCCCCATACAACGGTATTTATCCAAATTTATAAAGCAAGCAAAAATTTATCCAAATTTATAAAGCAATTTTTGGGGGAGAATATTCACTTTGTCAGCACTGACATCTTCTCTCTTTATATCTTCTCTGATTATTACACTGTGCTACAAAAAACATTTTTTCAATAATTACGGTGAAAATCCGGAGCTAAAAAGAAAACACGTGTATCGGCGTTTGAAAGTGTACACCGAAAAGTATTTAATCCACCAAACCCTTTCACACTTTTGAAATTTTCAGATTAAGATTCTTCGAAGTCCGTGAATTTTAGGTATACAGGGTGAGAACGCTATAATTTTTACATTTTTTTTCTTTTAAATTTTTTTTGAATACAAGCAAAAAATGTCGGAAATAGCATCAAATTTTAGAATAAGTTTAAATTTCTTCGAATTGTTCACCTTTGGCACGAATTATGGCCTTCAAACGGCCAATGAAACCGTCACACGCTGCCCGAATGTTGTTCTGCGGCATTTTGGCCCATTCCCAGCGAGGCGCTTGCTTTAGGTGATCGACACTTTGGTATTTTTTTGGTGCCCACATTGCTTTCCAATATACTCCAGACACAAAAGACCAACGATTGGTATCCGGAGATTTTGGTGGCCATAGTGTGCTGGAAACGAAGCGAGGAACCTCATTTTGTAACCGTTCATGGGTGGCGCATGCTGAGTGCGATGGTGCTGAGTCTTGTTGGAATGCCCAAAGTCTGCGGCTAAAATGTTTGCGTGCCCAAGGCTGTAATACACCCTCCAAAATATTTTCCCGATAATATTCGACAATTATTCTGACGCGGAGAGCGACCATCGGCTGTTATGGCGGCCCACACAATCACCATGGCCGGCGCTTGAGTTCTTGTGGCCAACCGAAGGTACACATTTTCAGCTGGCCTCTTTGGCATGTAAACACATCATTTTGTTTGTTTTGAATGTTTTCTCATCGGAATGTTTTCCCAAATTCGGCAGTTAACCACTTTCGCCAAGCGAAGCAACTCTTTAGCTCTTTTGAGTCTATTTTCTTTCTGTTATGGTGTAAGTTCTTGCCCTTTTTGGAATTTCAATGGATTTACCCCGAGCTTATTTTTCAATATTTGCTGAATGGAATATTGCGATGTGTTCAGCTCACGAGCCATTTTTCGGCCAATGCGATGCGGGTTTCGATCAAGTCGCTTCTTTACTTTTCGAACCATTTCGTTTTCCAGCCAAATATATAGAAATCACACTATTACGCTTAAATTCTATCACGAATGATTTTTTTTCTGGAAAATTCTCACCATAATGCTTTTGTACCCTTGTAAACAATATAATGAGTTGTCACTGGAATAATTTTAACAGCTGTCGGACGAGTGGCTTAGAAATGACAGCAGTCTGAAGTTAGTTGCAGTTTTTTCAGTATCAACATATTGAATAATTATAAAGAAGTCAAAATACATTTAAATAATCGAACATTGGCTGAGGGTATACATCTGTCGGCTAAACCTACTGATACATTTAAACTTGTTTTTCAAATTTTTTGTTTCGAGTTTCATATGAAATTATTAAAATTCCAAATTAAATAATTCGAAGTTGAGAGGTAACAATTCGGTTCACAACAAGTAAGAATTTGGCAATTTTCAAAAAATAAAATCCGTTAAAAATTCTATTAAAATCTTAAAAATACCGAATGTAGCCGTTATATTAGGGTCTATACGACGACGTGGACCTGCATAGGCAACTTTTGTCATAAGCCATTCAAATACGTAACTTGCAAAACATATCCGTGAATAATGCAGTTAAAATTATCAATTACCATTGTATGGGGGCTAAACGAGGACGTGGACCTGGACAGTCAATTTTCTGTCTAAGGCTGTAGTATTCATTACGAACTTCAAATACCAAATTTGAAAATATTCCGATGAATAATGTCGCTTAAATACCGCTACATGAGATCTATACGAAGACGTGGACTTGCACACACAATTTTCTGTTTTAGCCTGTAATGTCTATTTTGAACTTAAAATACCAAAATACGAAGATGTGGACCTGGACAGACAATTTTCTGTCTTAGGCTGTAGTATTCATTACGAACTTCAAATACAAAATTTGAAAAAATTTCGCTGAATAAAGTCGCTTAAATCACCAAAATACCGAAAATAGGGAGGTACCATAATATACCAAAACGTGGACCTATATGGCCTATTTTCAATACCAAAAGTTCTGCAGACATAATATACATATGAGTAAAACTTTATCAAACTACTTCATTTCGTTCGGAAGCTACAGTAATTTCCACATACGGACGGACATTGCTAAATCGATCTTTCTTGCGCGAACATCTTTATAATAAATTATTTGTCCAAAGCAGACATTATTCTTGTGCACTCAATTCTTTCTTTCCAATGATTCTTGATATCCACATTAGCTACCGTTTACTGTACTCCTTTGTACATAGTTTATTTTTACATACGTTCATACATAAATTTACAAAAACATTACACTTCTTTCGTAGTTAAATATAAAAATAAAAACAAAAACAGAGGAAATAAAAACAAAACAAACTGTTCCACAGTTATCCCAACAAGTGCTACTGCCTCGGAGCGTCGCGCCATTACGTATGTGGAGCTATTGATTGACTGATGTTAAGTCTCTCATTTGAGAGCAATCGAATGAAAACCATTAAACCTCGACACTGCAGTCGAGCAAAGTTATCATCGAGAAATGTCACCTTCACGGCCGGCCGATCGGGATAGTAAAGCACGGTTTGATGACGTCGATATCGTGGTCTTTGGATGCGTAACGTGTACAGCCAACGAATTAAATCTTCATCCGAAATTCGATTATGAGCTGCTGGTTGGAAGTGGCCAATCGAATGCTGATCAGGCTGAACTGGTTCTATAGATGATGTAGCTGAAGCCAAAACTATGGGTATATTTCGAGCTCTCGGCGACATTTTTGGTTCCCCGGCAGTGTCCGTAGTTGTCTCAGCTTTAGGAATGGTCGCCGTGGAGGAACCTTTTGAGTGCGTGTTATTTTCGTCTCTTTCAGCTTTGGGAATTATTTTCGCTTGTGATGCATTGTCCACAATTTTTACATTTGATTGGGTGGCATTTGGTGTTTCCTCCCATCCAGCCTCGGGAGTGATTGTCAGCTGAGGAATATCAGCAACAATCTCTTCAACTTTCAATTCAACTCGATTGGAGACTGCTGCTGGAAGTGTGACCTCAGCAATACTCGATGTTGGAGGATGAAATGGTGTTGGAGGTCGCATCGGTATTGGAGTAACCCGTCGTCGTTTAGTTCTCTTTATACGCATCTTGAGGCTTTGAAGGCTCAGACGAAACTGAAATGCTTATTATTTTATGATTTGCTTTAACTGTATTCTAACGGTATTTTTTATTTGTCCTTCTGTTATTGCTTTTCTAAATAATGGGTGTGTTCCATAACTAAATGATTTATACAAATTATAAAATATTATTCGAACGTCTAAAAAATGAGAGCGAGTGAAGAGAGTAATTTTGAAATTTTATGGGGAAATGTTCTCAGTAAGAATTAATCAGAATAATCAACAGAATAATTAACATTAAATAATCAACGGCTGAAGCTAGAATCACTCTTGGTCCGAAGGGGTCAGATAAGGCTGTTTTGTTTCTTTCGAAATTCGTACTAGAACGGTACGAATAAGGTAGATTTCGATAAGTGTACGAAAAGTACTAAAATGTTCAACATTTGATCCCATTTCGTATCATATGAACGGTTGGAGCTAAAATTTGGAGTGGGAATTAACATTGAGGAGTAGAGTCGATGAATATGAAAAGTACTAAACTGTACTAAATTTAGTACGATTTGAACTTGGAGGTACGAATAGAGCTGAAATCCTGAAATTAACATTACAGGCGCAGTGTAGGATTGGAATATGGAGGAAGTTTTCGAAATTTGTACTTATGTGCACGGAAAGTACTAACACTGCAACTAAACTACTAAATTGTGTACAAATTTGATTTGGGTGAACCGATAGAGCTAGAATTCTTAAATATACAAAAAAGATTACTATTACATTCTAGGACTGTAGGTAGTTTTGGAAATTCGTACTTATTTGTACTAAAGGGTACTAAATTTGGTACAATTTGAATTTTGGTTGAGCCAATAGAGTTGGAATCCTGAAATTTGGAAATACGTTTACTATTGCATTGTAGGACTGAGCTTTGTAGGTAGTTTTTGGAAATCATACTTATATGTACAAAATGGTACTTAAATTTGTACATTTTAAATATTGGTTGAGCCGGTAGCGTTAAGATCCTGAAATTTGAAAATACGTTTATTATCGCATTGTAGGACTGAGCTATGTAGGTAGTTTTGGAAATTCGTACTTATGTGTACTAAATGGTACTTAATTTTATACAATTTTTAATTTTGGTTGAACGTTGAAATCCTTTGTACTGATATGTACTAAATAAACTACAATTTGTATTTGACCGAACCAATAGGGGTGGAATCCCAGAATTTGGAATTGGGATTTCTGTAGGAGTGTAGGTTTGGTGTATGTAGGAAGTTTTGGGAATTCGTACTTATGTACACTATACAGCACAAAATTTTGTACAATTTGCATTTGGGCGAACCGATAGGGCTGGAATCCTGAAATTTAAATATTAAATTTTTATTGAATTGTATAATGTAGGTTGTTCTGAAGTACTTAAGTGCACTAAATGGTACTAAAATTGTGGTGAACAGATAGAGCTTTAATTTTGAAATTTAGAATGAGAGTCACTGATGTACAAAATGGTTTTCGGAAAATCCACCTTTAAGATTGCTTAAGAAATGTTACTAAGCTTTTAAAATAGTACCATTTAAAACAGTAGAACTTGAAATTTGGTATGAGAATCAAAGTTGGAAAGTATGTTTAATATATGAAGGTGGTTATGGAAATGTCTTCTAAGTTTGCGAACTGTACCAAATGGCACTAAATTTGGAACAGAATAGACCTGAAATCCTAAAAATTAGATATTGAGGTCATTGTTAGTGTCTGTGGTTAAGATATGGAGGTGGTTGTACTATATTTGTACGAAAAAAAAAAATGACTGGTACCATATTGAAATAATTATAATATTGAAAAATGAACTCGGGGTAAAGAAATTGGATTACCAAAAAGTTCAAAAACTTACACAGCAACAGAAAGAAAAGAGACTCAAAAGAGCTAAACAGTTACTTCGCTTGGCCGAAAGTGGTGAACTGCCGAATTTGATTTTCTCCGATGAGAAAACATTCGTTGTCCAGCAGTTTGTAAACAAAAAAAACATGATCGTCTTTACTTTACGAATTAATCGACCGTGGCATCAGAATAAATGCAGAATATTATCGCGAAAATATTCTGGAGGGTGTATTAAAGCCTCGGGCATGCAAACATTTTGGCCGCAGACCTTGGATATTCCAACAGGACTCAGCACAATCGCACTCAGCACGCACCAAGAATGGTTACAAAATGAGGTTCCTCACCTCATTTCCAGTGCATAATGGGCACCAAAATCTCCGAATACGAATCCGTTGGACTATTGCATCTGGAGTATTTTTGAAAGCAAGGTTGGCACCAAAAAATACCAAAGTGTCGATCTCCTCAAGCAAGCGCTACGCCGGGAAGGGGCCAAAATACCACAAAGCAACATTCGGGCAGTGTGTGACGGTTTCATTGGCCGTTTGAAGGCCATAATTCGTGCCAAAGGAGACCAATTCGAACAAATCTAAACTTATTCTAAAATTTGATACTTTTACTGACATTTTTTGCTTTTGTTCAATAAAATTAAAAAAAAAATAAAAATTATGGCTTTTGATCTCACCCTGTTTTTTATTTCACCCTGTAATTCTTCGAAAAGTAATAAATAAATTGGGTGAAGGAAATCCTGAAATTTGAAATTTGATATAGTTGTCACTCTTGTTATCTGTAATAAAGATATAGAGACGATTTCATAAATGTTTACTACAATTGTACGAAAAGTACTCAAGAGTACTATTTTGAGCATTACTTGAAGGGAAAGAGATAAATTTTTGAAATTTGATATTTATATTACGGATGAAGAAGGGATAGAGCTGAAACTGTGACATTTAATGCTGCGATAATTATTGGTGTCTATGATTGTAAACGAGTGCTAAAATTATACGTAATGTACAAAATTTTACTGAATTTGGTACTGGATGAAGGAATAGAGCTCAAATCTTGAAATTTGATACTGTTAGTCTCTGGTGTTAAAATCTGGGGTGGTTTTGCAAGTACTAAATGGTACTAATTGTTGTGGATATGCCTACTAAATGTAGTTAAGTTTGGTATTGGGTGAAGAGATAGAACTGAAATTCTGAAATTTGATATTAAGGTCACTATTTGTTTTTAGGGTTCTCATAAAAGTACAAAATCCGAAGTACGTTGATTTTTTCTTTTCTTAATTTAGACGATGAAATCTGGACAGTCGATGAATTTTTGGAAAAGAGCGAAGAGTCCTGCAGGTAAGAAGTAATTCATGGTACAAAATGACATAGCTCAAATAATATTTCTTCATTATCAGGAAAGCGGCCATTGAACTCAACCGAAAGAGTCAAATGGTATCTGAAGCGGTAGAAGAAGTTTTGAATTTGGTCGATAAAGCTTCGGAGAAATTTAAAGAGATGGCTGGCGATGATGTTGTGACTTTGTTTGATGGTTGGTATTAAAGAATGTATGTGGAAATATTTTCATACCTGACCACTATTTCAGCAAGTGCTAAAGATCAAAGCTCCTCTTCACGTAAAGGAGGTGAAAATGAAGGAGGAGGCGGAGGTGGAGGTAATGCTAGCTCCCGAGGTTCTGGTGGAGCAGCTGGTGGCGGTAATGCTGGCAATCAGCAACAAGATTGGAGTATTTTGTGGTCTTGTTTTGATAACCCTCTGACATTGCTGGCCACAACCGAGAGTTTGCCCAAAGGAATGCAGGTTTGAGTACAGAAAATACCTTCAATGTTCGTCTTCCTTTATCATTCGATCTGTTCTAGGATATGGTGTGCAATGCTGTTGTGGAAATGAGACGTTATTACAGCCGTAAAGTCATTGATGTACTGATCAAGGTGATACGAGCTGCCTTGGATACCATAAGGCGCCGCTTTGTGTCCGATGATGATGATCCAGTGGTCAAGAAACCAATATTTGCCCTCTATGCCCAACTGCAGATACCAAATGTGGTGATTAAACCCAATTTGGAGGAATTACAGGAGATTCTTATAACGGCTGGAAAAACTATTACCGGCATTTCCAAAGGAGTGGCCCAGTGGACAAGTGGCAAGGAACAGCCGGTAAGTCGGCTTAAATCTTGATATATTTGATCTTAAAACGTTCCTATCCTCTATATATAGCAAGTCTCCTTGACACCCCAGCCTCGAGTTGGCCGCAATCACAATACAAAACGCCGTAAATTGTACACCCTAGATTCGGTGCAGAAGCCACAAATGCCCCACATGCTGAAGTCATTCTATTCCGCCATAATGGACAATAAAGAGGTGGCAAAGGCGTTCAATTTACTTTCGAACTGTACCAAGGGTATAAAGCCGGAAATCCAAACCTACATCAAACGTTGGAAACCCTATCATTTCCTGTGGAAAAATGATCGAACCACACGACAGCTGATGGAATTTGGTTTGCAAGAATTTGAGACAACTTTACGTTGTTTGGCCGATCTGGATGCGAATCTGTTGATCGAACCGGATATGGAAGTTTTCGGAAATTGTTTGGCTGTGTACAATGAACGTTTAAAATATGGCTTAGCGATCGAAATTAAATGTAAGTATTTACAACTAAATGAAATGTTTGAAGAGTTATAATGTATTGGAACAAATTCACTCCGGCGGCTTTAGAATGCAGGTCACAGTATAAATGAAGGTGTTTTAGAGTTGTTTGAGGTCAGTTGTCTGTTGAAAGCTGATGAGCTATGTGAGGTTTATTACGTCCCCTTTGGCAATAGTAGTAGTAGTTTATGTTTTGTTGAGGTTGAGTAGGATTTACGACATTTCCTTGACTGCAACGATTGTAGTGTTTTGAAGTTAGAGCTGAGTGGGGTTTTAACGTTCCCCTAACTCTAACATTCGTAAGATCGACTCCAAATTTCCTGGAAAGGATTTTGTCCATGATTTATACCATTTGCTGCCATTTGGATGAGGGTATACAAATTGTTTGTACAGTACTTTAGAGCCGGCAATACAAAAAAAATCATATAAGGCTCTTCGAAAACGTGGGCCTACCCACAAAAATTAGAACCCATTACGAATTTTTCTGGAAAGTGACTTTGCTTCGATGGTTGTTATTTCCAAAAGGTACATAGGAAGCTTTTTTGCTTTGATGATATCTGGGAAATCCTTTTAGCCAACCGATTATCAAAGGGATAGGATAGTTCTCTAAAACGTCGCACAAAGAGCGAAATCACAAAAAAACGGAGATTAATTAAAATAATAAAATTCGTTGTTTGGAGAAACTGTTTTGACTTGATTACAGAAAACAAAAATTCTACTTCACTACCGAAAATGTTTAAAAAAAGTAAAAAAACTGTAATCCTCCACCATTTGGAACGAATTTGGCAATTTTCAAAAAATAAAATTCGTTAAAAATTCTATTAAAATCTTAAAAATACCAAGTGTAGCCGTCATATTAGGTTCTAAACGACTACGTGGACCTGCATAGGCAACTTTTGTCATAAGCCAATACAATATTCAAATGCGAAACTTGAAAAAAATCGGTGAATAATGTAGCTGAAATCATCAATATAGGGAGGTACTCTTATATGGAGGCTATACCAAAATATGAACCAGCACAGACAATTTTCTGTCATAGGCTGTAGTATTCACTACGAACTTCAAATACCAAATTTCAAAAAATTCCTGTGAATAGTACGTAGCAACCAGTTTTAGCTTTGATGACATGTGGGAAATTCTTTTAGCCAACCCATTATCAGAAGTTAGGACAGTTCTCTGAAGCGACGCACAGAGGGGCGAAATCACAAAAACCGGAGATTAATTGAAAAAATGAAATTCGTTGTTTGGAGTAACTGTTTTGACTTGATTACAGAAAACAAAAATTCTACTTCACTACCGAAAATGTTTAAAAAAAAAATTAAAAAAAAAACTGTAACCCGAACGAATTTGACAATTTTCAAAAAAAAAAAAAAAAATGAAATTCGTTAAAAATTCTATTAAAATCTTAAAAATACCAAGCGTAGCCGTCATATTAGGTTCTAAACGACTACGTGGACCTGCATAGGCAACTTTTGTCATAAGCCATTACAATATTCGAATGCGAAACTTGAAAAAAATCGGCGAATAATGTAGCTTATATGGAGGCTATACCAAAATATGAACCAGCACAGACAATTTTCTGCCTCAGGCTGCAATATCCATTACGGACTTCAAATATCAAATTTGAAACAATTCCGATGAATAATGTCGCAAAAATCATCAAAATACCTAATATAGGGTTATATGGGGGCCATGGCAAACCGTGGACTTACATGGCCCATTTTCAATACCAAAAGTCCTGCCGACATAATATACATTTGAGTGCAATTTTATCAATATACTTCATTTCGTTCGGAAGCTAGACTGATTTTCACAGACGGACGGACATCGCTAAATCGATATAGAATTTTATGCTGATCAAGATATATTGGGTGAGATGAAAAAACTGCAACCAAATTCAGACTGCTGTCATTTGTAAGCCACTCGTCCGACAGCTGTTAAATTTATTCCAGTGACAGCTCATTATATTAGTTATAAGCGTACAAAAGCATTTTGTTGAGAATTTTCCAGAAAACAAGTTATTCGTAATGGAATTCAAGCGTGATAGTGTTATATCTTTATATTTGGCTGGAAAACCACAAGTGGCTATCGTTAGGGCACTCCAGCATTTAAATGTGAATAAATATTTTGTGTCTCTAACCGTCGCTCGTTACTGTGATACTGGTAGCGTAGCCCGACGTCTAGAAGGTGGACGGAAGAAAGCAGCGACATCAGTAGAAATGGTTCGAAAAGTAAAGAAGCGACTTGATCGAAACCCACGTCGCAGTGGCCGAAAAATGGCTCGTGAGAGCTGGACATATCGCAATATTCCATTCGGCAAATAATGAAAAATGAGCTCGGGGTAAAGCCATTGAAATTCCAAAAAGTGCAAGAACTTACACCGCAACAGAAAGAAAATAGACTCAAAAGAGCTAAGAGTTGCTTCGCTTGGTCGAAAGTGGTGAACTGCCGCATTTAGTTCTCTCCGATGAGAAAACATTCGTTGTCCAGCAGTTTGTAAACAAATAAAATGATCGTGTTTACTTGCCAAAGAGGTCAGCTGAAAATGTGCAGCGTTGGTTGGCCACCAGAACTCAGGCGCCGGCCATGGTGATGGTGTGGGCCGCCATAACAGCTGATGGTCGCTCTTCGCTCGTATTTATCGAACGTGGCATCAGAATAAATGCCAAATATTATCGCGAAACTAATCTGGAGGATGTATTAAAGTCTTGGGCACGAAAACATTTTAGCCGCAGACCTTGGACATTCCAACAGGACTCAGCACCATCGCACTCAGCAAGCGTTACCCGGGAATGGTAACAAAGGTTCCTCGCTTCATTTCCAGCGCACAATTGCCACCAAAATCTGTCTGGAGTATTTTGGAAAGCAAGGTTGGCATTAAAAATACCAAAGTGTCGATCAACTCAAGCAAGCGTTTCGCCGGGAACGGGCCGAAATCCGCAGAGCAACATTCGGGCAGCGTGTGACGGTTTCATTCATTTCGTGACCAAGTTGAACAAATCTAAACGTATTCTAAAATTTGATTCTATATCCGACATTTAACTTATGGCGTTTGACTTCGTTGCAGTTTTGTATATCTCACCCTGTATATATCGTTGTAAAATATATATCAGCTACGAAATGGCCAATATCCTCCGGAACCGCCGGAAAGGGTCAAAGTTGGAATAATCATATCGCAAGTCAAAATATATTTAAATTAACGGACATTACCGGAGGTTAAATATCTATCGGCCAAACCGTATGACTTTTTAACTTGTTTTGGGGGGACATAATATGGGACCCATGGTAGAATTACAAGGTAACCCTTTCAGGCCAGCTGTAGTCAACTTGATATGTCAAACAAGTTGTTGTAATTCGAATTCGCCGTAGAAATACATAACAGAAATTCAAACATCATAGAGGAAAAAATAAACACAAAAATATAAAAATCAAATTTTGTGATATAATTCAAATAAAAAAAAAAAACAGAATATGAGGTGCTGTGCTGTTTGCAAAAGAAAGGATAATGAACGACAAACAACATTTTTCAATGTACCCAAGGAAGAGATGAAGAGGTTGAAGTGGAGTGCGATTTGTGGGATCACTTTAAACCCAAACGCCAAAATATGTTCTCATCACTTCAACCCAAAGTATATAACGAGCATAAGTGGGGGAGGTATTAGAAGGAGTAGTCCAATCTTGTCCATTCTCCCACCCAATCTTGGGGTAATGCAAATATTACGATTTGCAAAGTTTGAAGAAAATCCAACAATCCGTTATCTTTATATGCGGTAAATTATTTTCAATGAAAATGTTGACCTTTTGTGGGGGAGGTACCAGGAGGATTGGACCGATATTGCTACAAGGAGAATTATTTATTTTATTAAGAGAATACAAAATAAGTGATAACATAACATATATTTTGTATTTTCGCACTGGATTCTGTGCTGTTAAAAATGTCGTGAGGGAGGAACCGGAAGGAGTGGGACGACATTGCCCATCTCCGCATTATGTTTGTTAATAATATTGCGATGCACTATGTTTGGATGATGATCCATTCTACAGCTATCGTACGCACCAGCAAGACAGACGGACGGGTCGCCTCCAAATGTCCTGAAACGGATTTCGTTGAAAGAGGCGTTATTTCGATCAGATACATTTTGGTCATATGAAATTATACAGACCTTCTCTAGCGATATGACTGATGGTATAATACGTATACACTTCCAGTTATTGTAGTATTTTCAGTTTATATGTTAAAAAATATACTAATCTCAACTAATATATACACATGAATAAACCAAAACAAACTTTTTCAATGTTTCAGAATGAAGAGTTCTGATTGGTGCAAACCAATTTGCCCCAAATTTTAAATATCTTCAAATAAATTCGCCCTGGTTAAAACTTTGACATATCAAGTTTCTAAAAAAGTTGCTTTGTTGTAATTTTCGCCTATGTTGCTACCTGGTATTTCTACCATGATGGGACCTATTCTAAATAGTGGACCAGTGTTGACAATGACTATTATAATTTGATTATCTTTGAACATATTTTCAAATTTAAAAAAAAAAATTCAGAATAATTTGAGAAATTATCCATTTGCCATATTTTTTATAGCCTGCAATCACAAAATCGGCCAGGCCATGAAAAAGAAATACAAAAAAGAAATGGACTATGTTTATGCAGTTATCAATGAAATGGATCGTAAACTGGATCGACCAATCCGTGACTTGGATGATGTGCGCATGATTATGGAGACATTGGGTAAGATAAGGGAGCAAGAGGTGGATATGGAGTTGCGCATTGATCCAATTGAGGTAAGCACCTAAAATCAATACGAACATATTCCTTACATATGAAATGTCTAATTTTCCAGGAAGCTTTCAATGTCCTCACCCGCTACGAGGTCCAAGTGGAACGTGAACAATTCGATTTGGTCGACAATTTAAGGGCAACCTTTCAAAATCTGCTGGCTTGCGCCCTGCAAGCCCAGGTTAAATTGTTGGAAATGCAACCATCCTTCCAGGATGATTTGAAAAATAATTTGGACAATTTCAAGCAGGACAAAATCAATTATGTTTTGGAATATCGCACAGCGGGGCCAATGCAACCGGGGCTGACACCACGTGAGGCCTCCGATCGTTTGATATTATTTCAAAATCGTTTTGAGGGTATGTGGAGGCGTTTACAAACATATCAGAGTGGGGAGGAACTGTTCGGTCTACCTCAAACGGACTATCCGGAATTGGGCCAGATACGCAAGGAATTGAATTTACTGCAAAAGCTGTATAAGCTTTACAATGATGTCATTGATCGGGTGAGCAGTTATTATGATATACCCTGGAATGAGGTGGACATTGAGGAGATCAACAATGAATTGATGGAGTTTCAAAATCGTTGTCGCAAACTGCCCAAGGCCCTCAAGGAATGGCCGGCTTTCCATGCCTTGAAGAAGACAATTGATGATTTTAATGACATGTGTCCCCTGCTGGAATTGATGGCCAATAAGGCCATGAAGCCAAGGCATTGGCAGCGTATTATGGATGTAACCCAATACACATTTGAATTTGATTCGGAGGGATTTTCTTTGAAAAATATTTTGGAAGCTCCTCTGCTGAAATACAAGGAGGATATAGAGGATATTTGCATTAGTGCCATGAAGGAGAAGGATATTGAGGCAAAATTGAAACAGGTCACCAATGAATGGTCTGTGCATGAATTGCAATTCATGAGTTTCAACAATCGTGGAGAACTGCTGTTGCGTGGTGACACCACTGCCGAAACAATAGGACAATTGGAAGATAGTCTCATGGTTTTGGGTTCACTGCTATCGAATCGTTATAATGCTCCATTCCGCAAACAAATTCAACAGTGGGTCTATGATCTCTCCAATTCCAATGAAATCTTGGAAAGATGGCTTTTGGTGCAAAATATGTGGGTCTATTTGGAGGCGGTATTTGTTGGCGGTGACATTGCCAAACAATTGCCCAAAGAGGCTAAACGTTTCTCGAAAATCGATAAATCCTGGCAAAAAATTATGCAAAGGGCCCATGAGACCCCGGGCGTGGTGGCCTGTTGTGTGGGCGATGATTTGCTGAAACAGCTGCTGCCTCATCTCCAGGAACAATTGGAAATCTGTCAGAAATCCCTTAGCGGCTATTTGGAGCGCAAGCGCATGATGTTCCCCCGCTTCTTTTTTGTATCGGATCCAGCCCTGCTGGAGATTCTGGGTCAAGCTTCCGATTCGCATACCATTCAGAATCACCTGCTGTCCATATTCGACAATACCCGCCATATAAAATTCCACGACATCGAGTACAACAAAATGATGGCCATCATCTCGAGTGAGGGCGAAATGATCCAACTCGACCGGGCCATACGGGCCGAGGGTTCCGTCGAGACATGGCTAACTCAATTGCTGGTCACAGCGCAGGCGTCATTGCATTCGATCATACGGACCGCTTATGCCACCATCAATGATCCAAATTTCAGTTTGCTCGCCTTCCTCGACAAGGCGCCAGCCCAAATAGGTCTTCTAGGCATACAAATGATTTGGACACGTGATGCAGAAATGGCTCTGATGCAGGCCAGGCAAGAGAGGAAAGTCATGTCAGAGACCAATAATAAATTTCTGGATATTTTGAATACCTTGATTGATCAGACGACAAGAAATTTGACGAAAATGGAGAGGACGAACTTTGAGACGTTGATTACAATCCATGTCCATCAAAGGGATATTTTTGATATATTGGTGAGCTCAACCTTCATTGGAGTATATCTTGAAATTTGTGTCTAATTGTTGTTGTTTTTGTAGTGTCGCATGAACATCAAGTCGGCCAATGATTTTGAGTGGCTAAAACAGTGTCGTTTCTATTTCAAGGAGGATTTGGATAAAACCTGGATCTCAGTTACAGATGTAACGTTTACATATCAAAATGAATATTTAGGTTGCACGGATCGTTTGGTTATTACTCCACTCACTGATCGGTAAGATTTTATTAAAATGTTCATAGCTCTTCCAGATGACTGGTACTTTTGTTGCAATTGATTCCATCAGTATTTTCCACGTCTTGAATTCACAAAGTTTTTTTTTTCGGAACAGTTGTTGTTATTGTAGCAGTAGTACATGTTTGCTTCTGCTTATCTGGTTCATGCTCCAGGTTGAACTACTATTACTACTTTAATGAGCTGTAGTCAGAGATTTTCTGGAGTGGAGGTTTGGCTGTGCAATTAAAGGGGTGCAGCGTATTGTGCGGGCCTGTATCACACGCCGGGTTGACGTCACGCACATCTTTGTCAAATCGAATACGAATACGAATTGAGACGACTACACCATATTAAACGTAATTGCGCCAAAACTACCCTGGTTTGTCTAGGCAGCTGGGGGTGGATTCCGAGGACGGCTTTCATTCTATAACTGCTAATAGTATCAGAATATCATACATGCCTGATAGGCTTCTTGATCTAGAGGTTCTCTTTTATATCGTTGGACCTCCCTCTCTAGATCGTGTCGTGTCGTTCCTGACACGCCTGGGTGGGGATGTTGTATCCGCCATATGATGATTGGGATGACTCTCGCGGTAACACCCAATCACGTACTGCAACGAAAGAAAATGATTATACTGACTTCAGAGAAGGACTTTCGCCTCATGTAGATTGTCCACAGGTGTCATGAGAAGGCACCCGGTCGCAGTTCTTAAGGCATGTGCCTCATTTGCTAATCCCGCTGCCTCTGCTGGGAAGTTTGGTCTTACCTCGAGTATTTTCGACCAGCAGGTATATAGCGAGCGGATACAGCTTTGATGATGTTTCGGAAAATCCAATCTGCTACCCGAACATCAGAAGGGTTGGGCAGTTCTCTGAAGCAGCAGTTGGTGAATTCTCTGAACTCTGGCCAGGAAAGCTCCTGGCGTGGTTAAGGAATGTGCTGTGTTCAGAGATTATGAAATGTGCTGATATCTGCAAATAACGCGGTTCACAGATATTAATCGGCGGGATATACACATTAAGCACCTCTACCTCGGCACATCCACACTTGACTGCTACCCCTATACTTTCCATGCAAGGGTCACTAGAGACTAGCTCAAGCGAGATAGGTCTGTACTGAACAGAATGATGTAACAGGAACGCTAATCAACCCCCCCCCCCCCTCGACTTCTGCTGCGATCCTACCTAAGTACGTTGTAACCATAACCATTATCTCATCAATTTTGCCTCGGAGTCCGTTGTAATTGAATTGCAAAAACGATGCACAATCCGGAGTTGGAACAGCAACATGTGGCGTTAAATGCTGCCGTTTTGGTTGTTGTTCTGGAGACTGCAGTGGACCAATAACGGCACGGATCAATAAAATCTACAGCAAGCATTCCGGGATATTCTGCTTCCACTTCAGAAAAAATAAACAAACACAAACATATACATACTGGGTTGGCAGCCGCTGGCCGAAACTGGGATGTTGTTGCTTCGGGTCAATTCGGTATCGTAGAAGCCTCTGCCGTGGGAAAATAAGTTCGGGGAAATAAAATAAATATCTTCTTCTGAAATTATTTTTTTTTTAATTTTCAACTTTATGAAACATGCTGCTCTCCATTTCGGTAGCTCAAACCCAAAATATAATTTTAAAATTTTACTGTAGCTGTTTCCATAATTTCCTCTCATTTTTATATACATCTACATTAAATTGTTCAATTTAAGTTTGCCTTTCAACACTTTTTTTGAATATGTTCAATTTCAAATGGAAACCCCAAATAGTATGTGGTAAGAAGTTACCACGCTAGAAAGAAACTTTCCAGTTAAATACGCTCCTTCAAATATGCCACTTTAACTCTCACCAGTTGAGCAATAAATTCCCCATAGAAAGTCCTTTGCCAACTTATACCCATATTGATTTTTTCATTTCCCCCTTTTTTCCATTCGTTTCATTATTAATGATGCTGCTGCTGCTACCTTTACCATTGCTACACAGATGCTACATAACATTGGCCCAGGCGCTAACCTTAAGCATGGGTGGTGCTCCCTGCGGTCCAGCTGGTACTGGTAAAACTGAAACGGTTAAGGACATGGGAAAAACTTTGGCCAAGTATGTGGTTGTATTTAATTGTTCCGATCAAATGGATTACAGGTGAGTAAATTGTGTTTTGTAATGGAAATGGAAATAAATTTTGAAATTCTTGGGGGGAGAGAAAATTGTTTCTTTAAGACATGATGTTGCCCGCAACTTTATTTGCGGTTTATTTTAATCAATGAGCAAATATATGGATATTATTTTGGGGTTTTTGAAAAGGGTGATATTTTTGAAGAACTTTTTGCAAAGGGTATATTTCCCTAAACCACATTGCGGTCAGGGTATTATGTATTTGTGCATTTATTTGCGACATGGAGAAGAAAGCGAGAGAGACCCCACAGTTCCTTTTGATGACCTGTATAGAATCACATTCTGTCCGCAATGTATTTTTATAAAAAAAGGACAGATCGCATTTATTGCCCGATAGAGATGATATTTTTTACAAATCATTTGTTTGTCCCGAGGACAAATTTGGTGATAATCGGATTAGATTTGGATGTAGCTCACATATACAGGATTGGCCATATTCGACGGACCTTTGGGCCCATTCCAATCGACGAGACCTGTCCGCAGGCAACATTCTTTGCGTCAATTGAATTTTGTATGGGAACAAATGCAAATCAATGCGAATAATCCGTTGTAAAGTGGACCGAGCCATGCCCAACTGCTGAGAACGGCGTTTTTGGGATGTTCTTGGGGACCACTCAACACTGGCTCGTACGGCAGCGATATTCTCGGCCGATCGCCTTGGTCGACTTTTATATGGCCTCTTCGGATTAGAAAGAGCCTTACCAGTCGAAAATTTTTTGTATAAACGCTTAATGGTGTTCTTAGAAGGCGCACTTCTCACATTTTTTAATGTTTTAAAAGCACGTTGAGTTTTCACAATTGACTTCTTCTGTTGAATGTAAATTTCAACTATTTCAGAGCGCTCGCGTGTTTCATCGTAAAAATCTGCTTGGACTGACGCTTCAAACGCGGTACGTCATTAAACGATGTGACATCTCTGTCAAAAGTTATGGCATTGCCAGATGGGTCCGTCGAATATGGGCACCCCTGTATATCTTCCTTCGATTTGCATTTTATTGTGCACCAAATGTATAATATTAGTTCGAATATCATGGAATTTGGCACACTCGACCAAATTGAGCGTAGAAACATGTGTATCAAATTTAGTGGAAATGGCTTCAGACAAAGCTATTGTTCTCTTATATATATTGTTTATCCGATTTGTTATTTTTGTACTCCACAGCAGAATTTGACTTATTCGGGGAAATACTTATTCAAGTACTGAGAAATACCTTGAACAAATTTTCTCGATATCGGTGCAGATTTGGATATAGCTAGCATATATATCTTCGTCCGATGTGATTCTTATTGTACACCAAATGATATATATATATATATCAGCCCAAATGGCACATACGACCGAATTCAGTTTAGAAGCAAGTATTTAAAATTTTGTGAAAATCGGTTAAGATATGATTAAGCCTTTCATATATATGTTTCATCCGATTTTGTATCTAAGTCCCTCACATTCGTGATATGCGCTCCACCAGAACACTAGCACTAGATAACTTATGGATATCGAAAATTCCTCTGTCAAATTTTATCGAGATCGGATCAGATTAGGGTATACCTTTTATATATATATATATATATATATATATATATATATATATATATATATATATATATATATATATATATATATATAATATATATATATATATATATATATATATATATATATATATATATATATATATATATATATATATATATTTCCGATTTCAGGTTTTTTTGTGCACCAAATGGCTAACATCAGCCCAACTAGATTGAATTTTGGCAATTCCGACCGAATTCAGCCTAGAAGTAAGCACTTCAGATTTTGGTGAAAATTGGTACAGATCAGCTATAGCTCCCATTTATGTTTCATCCGATTTGGTGTTAAGGTCCCTCATATGCGTAATATGCACTCCTCAACAATGATATTTGATACCGGGCATCAGATACTGCTCAATAATACCTCTGCCAAATTTTATCGAGATCGATTCAGATTTTTATATAGTTGCGATATACATCTTCATCCGATTGCGGTTATTGCTCACCATATTTTTGATATCAGTCCAAATTGAATAGATTTTTAACATTGAACCGAATTTTACCATTTTTTGAAACTCGGTCCGGTATATCTATTGCTCCAAAAAATTCATAGTTGGTATGATCTATTTCACATAAATTCTCAATATAAACATTTTTGTTACGGGAGCTCTACACTCTACGCCTGGTAGTGTAGGGTATCATATAGTCGGCCCCGCCCGACTTTTGACCTTTCCTTACTAGTTTACTGTTAGCCTAATACCATTGTTTAGGTGTGGTAGATCTATGTTTCTTAACAAAATAATATGAACACAAACTCTGAGTACTAAATAATGTGATGAAACGCCTGGCAGATCCAAAGAATTTGTTTGTGCATAAAATACATGAAATCGGCATAACACATATATGGGAGTTATATATTGAACTGATTTTAATATAATTCGACAAATTTGTTTTTATACAAAACTCCGTTACTCACTTCAAATTTCATTGGAATCGGATACAAACATTGTGGTTGGTACATAAAATGCATGAAGTCGGTCGAAAATATATATGGGAGCTATATCCAAATCAGAACCGATCTCAATATAAATTTATTTTGTACCAAATTTCGTCACACATTCCAAATTCTAAGACGAATATAACGATCAATAGATATTTGCATAGAATATCTCATTTTTTTTGGAGGTAGCTTAGATTTTGAAGATATACCTGCAGTTCCAAGTAGAATTTCAAAAATGTTTATAGCCCATGTTACTTTCAGGCGATGCTGTAGTATACATAGATAATTTCCGGAAAATCTGTTTAGTGGTTTTTGTGTCCATAAATTACAAACAATCAAACGTACAAACATTTTCCTCTTTTATAGTTATAGATTCATCTGATTCCCCAATTTTATAATAGTAACAATAACGTGACATGTGGTTTTAATTATTATATCGACGGAAATATTTTAACGTAATTGATTTTAAAATGGATAAATAATAATAGATATAGCCGCACACCTAAACACACACATGCGTATTCGTTGAATTATGTGCCTACGTGTCTAATATTATCCAGATGCAACCTTTGGTTAGGTATGATAGTATAACAGTTGACTACGTGTAACGTGGTTTTCTCGTCAGCAGATGTTCAGCTGTACCAAAAGTCTCCATAAAGACCCACATAATCTTATGAAATAAGAAGAGTAGGTTTCTCCTTTTCTGGTGTTAAAAGCCTGTTTTAATATTTTTTATAACCTTCACCATACATAGTTTGTAACTCATCGAAATAATTATTTTAGACCCAACAAAGTATATATATTTTTGATCCGCGTAAAATCTAAGACAATTTAGCCCTTTCTGTCCGTCCTTCTATTGTAATCACGCTAGAGTCAAGACGAATAAAGATAGGAAGCTAAAATTTTGCACAGATCAGTCTTTTGTCTGCAGGCAAGATGGGCGATATCGGTCAATGATATCGTATAGCCCCCATATAACGATACCCTCCGATATTTGGTATTTTGATGATTGTAGCCCAATTTTCAATGAAATTGTCTGAAAATCCACATAAGGAGTTCCGTCTGAGTACTTTATCCCCTGGAAGATAAATGTCTGTTTGTCTACGATATCGTATTACCCCCATGTAACGGTAAACCGCAATATTCGGTATTTTAGTGATTGTGGCAAAATTCCTGAATGGAACTGTTTGAGAATTAACACAGAAAGTTCCTTCAGAGTAACCCATGGAAGAGAATTGTCTATATTAGTCCACGATATCGTATAGCCCTCATATAACGGTATATATTCGATATTTTGTCAATCTTAGAAACATTATTCACCGGAGTTGTTTCAAATTTCGCATTTATAGTTCGTAATGGGAACTACAGTCTATGACAGAAAATTGTCTATGCAGGTCCAGGTCTTCGTATATGGGGCTTATATATCAGTACCCCCAATATTCGGTATTTTGACGATTTTAGGTACAATATTCACGGAAATTCCTAGCCTGTGACCAAAAATTGTCTATGCAGGTACAGGTCTTCGCCCCGATAAAACAGTACCTCCCTATATTCGGTATTTTGATGATTTTAGCTACGTTATTCACCGATTTTTTTCATGTTTCGTATTTGAATATTGCTATGGCTTATGATCAAAATTGCCAATGCAGGTCCACGTCTTTGTATAGACAATATGACGGCTACATTCGTTATTTTTAAGATTCTAACAGAATTTCCACCGATTTTTTTTTTGAAAATGTCCAAATTCGTTCCAAATGGTAGAGGATATTCAAGTTCGGCCGAACTTACTGCCTTTTTGATTAAATTACAATCTACTCATATTGATATACGATAAGATGAAATTGACGGTTTGAAGGTGATCAGAAACGTATGGTCGTTGGTTGTCGATAGGTTGAGTGTTACCAGAAAAATGAGGTTCTTGCTTTTTGGAACGTCTGCGTTCGATATGTTGACGATTTGGAAGTAATCGGGGCTTGCGATGTGAGTATTAGGGTGTTGATGTGCAGGTCTTCGGAGGCGGATTGAAATTCATTCGAGTTTGGCAGCTCACTGAACTTAGAGTCAGCAGCCAAAGTGTAGGCAGAAGGACAAGAACTCTTTCGGATTCGGCAGCTTAATGTGTATGTGTTTGGGGTCCGATGAATACAGGGTGAGATAAAAAAACTGCAAAAAAGTCAAATGCCATAATTTTTACATTTTTTCAAATTTTATCGAATGAAAAACAAAAAATTCGGAAATAGCATCAAATTTTAGAATAAGTTTAGATTTGTTCGAATTGGTTACTTTTGGTTCGAATTATGGCCTTCAAACGGCCAATGAAATCGTCACACGCTGCCCGAATGTTGCTCTGCGGTATTTTGGCCCATTCCCGGCGAAGCGCTTGCTTGAGGTGATCGACACTTTGATATTTTTTAGTTCCAACCTTACTTTCCAAAATACTCCAGACACAATAGTCCAGCGGATGATATCAGGAGATTTTGGTGGCCATTGTGAGCTGGAAATGAAGCGAGGAACCTCATTTTGTAACCATTCTTTGGTGGCCAAATTTGTTTGCGTGCCTAAGGCTTTAATACACCTTCCAGAATATTTTCGCGATAATATTCGGCATTTATTGTGATGCCATGGTCGATTAATATGATCGCAGAGCGACCTGTTATAGCGACCCATACCATCACCATGGTCTGCGTTTAAGCTCTGGTGACCAACCGAAGGTGCACATTTTCAGCTGACCTCTTTGGCAAGTAAACACGATCATTTTGTTTGTTTACAAACTGCTTTACAACGAATCTTTTCTCATCGGAGAAAACCAGGTTCGGCAGTTCACCACTTTCGGCCAAGCGAAGCAGCTCTTTAGCTCTTTTGAGTCTATTTTCTTTCTGTTGCGCTGTAAGTTCTTGCACTTTTTGAAATTTCAATGAATATTGCGAATAGAATATTGCGATACGTTATGCTCACGAGCCATTTTTTGGCCACTGCGACGCTAGTTTCGATCAAGCCGCTTCTTTACTTTTCGAACAATTTCTGCTGATGTTGCTGTTTTCTTCATTACGAATAACTTTTTTCTGGAAAATGCTCAACAAAATGCTTTTGTACGCTTGTAAACAATATAATGAGATGTCACTGGAATAATTTTAACAGCTGTCGGACGAGTGCCTTAGAAATTACAGCAGTCTTTAAGTTGGTTGCAGTTTTTTCATCTCATCCTGCAGGCCTTCGCTGATAGCTTTTGAACGAAATTAAGTAGGTTGAAAAAGTCTTACTTTTGGTATTGAAAACGGATCATATGCGTCCACGCATATGACGACCTATATAATAGTATTGGCAGATTTAAGGTGTTTTGGGTGTTTTAGTCACAACTTTGAATCAAATTTGCTGTAAATATGTCGATAATATCCTTGGCGAGAACTGTCTTCGTTTAAGTATAGACCTCGGTATTTTGGTAAGTTGTGAGTCATTTTTCACCGGAATTCTTTTAAATTTAGAGCTTGTAATGGGTATTACCTTCTATGACAGAAAATGGCATGTACAGATCAGGGACTTCCTACAGCCCCATATGTAACAGTACTTTCGAATTATTGGTATTTGGATGATTTAAGCTACTTTTTTAACAGAATTATTTCAAACTTGGTGTCTGGAGTTCATAATAGGCACCACTTTCTCTGGCAGATAATTTTCCTATAGATTTTCCGTTCTCGATTAGTTATATATAACCGTGACACCTGACATTCCATAATTATAGTATAATAATAATATTGCACTTACTTCTTATAAAATACACTTTAATTATTGCAATTATCCACCATGTACTGTACTATCATTGTTTATAATTTATGTTTATGATTCAACGCATGTGTGTGTGACTGTGTTATTTTAAAATTGCATTTCTCGTTTGGCCATGTGAAAGGATTAATTCTCGACACGTCTTCTATTGCAGAGGCTTGGGTCGCATCTATAAAGGCTTAGCCCAATCCGGATCATGGGGCTGCTTCGATGAGTTCAATCGCATTGAACTGCCAGTACTGTCCGTAGCTGCGCAACAGGTTGCCGTTGTCTTGACGGCCAAGAAGGAAAAGAAAAAGACATTCATATTCACAGATGGCGATACGATTGAAATGAATCCGGAATTTGGAATATTCATCACGATGGTAAGTAAAGGAATAGTGGAAGAGAAAAAATGAACAACAAAATGCGTTGTTTAAGAATGTTACAGTTTAAGTTCAATTACGACGACGGCGATGATAATGATGATGGCGGCGACGACGACTTTTATGAAAGGCCATTGTAAATGTATTTTTCTAGGGAGTAATTATTTTTACGGTCTTCAATGAAATTGTTGTTGGCGATTTTATATGCTTCCGATTTTTCTGCCTCTGTTCTTTTTCACATTTTTACTCGGAATTTATTAGCGAACTTTTAATTACTTCGCTTTTGTAGTGCTGTGAGTTTTTATTTGAAAATAACTGCCAAATGGAATGATGAATGGGTTCTGCGTCGTACAACGTCTTGGAAAAAATTTGTATACTGAAATTATTCTTAGTCTTGGATGGATGAGAGAGAAAGTGTAAAATTTGTTTTAATTTATAGTAACAATAGTATTAAAACTGTTGTCTGTGTTGGAAAGACTTTTGTATTTGCTTCCTGTATCCATTATTTGTTTATAATTACATTCGACTTTGTAAAGGGTGTTTTTTTAACTTGATAGAACATGAAATTGTAAAAAATAACACAAAACAATAAAATTTAATCATTTTTTTTATTCGAAAGATCAATACGTGACATTAAAATTTGAAAATGATTTTGGGTATATGGACACCGCGGCTGTTCTTGACGAAGTGCATTCTGGGCGTCCAATTTTTGGCCACTTTTTCGAGCACTGCTGGCCGTATGTCACAAATAACACGAACAATGCTGGCCTCCAAGGCGTCAATTGTTGCTGGTTTATGAGCATAAACCAGTGACTTCACGTAGCCCCGCACGACCTTGGAGGTCAATTGACAGGTCCTCTTCTCGAAATCAACTTATCGCCAAATTTTGATTTCAATAAGTCGATGGTTGCGTTCGACATATGACACGTAGCGCCATCCAGTTGAAACCACATCTCCTCCGGATCAATGTCATCCATATTTTTAAACAAAAAATCATTGATCATGGTGTGGTAACGATCTCCATTGACCGTAACGCGAGCTCCGGCCTCATTTTTAAAGAAATAAGGTCCGATGATGCCACCAGCGTGAAAACCGCACCATACGGTGCATTTTTCTGAATGTAATTTAGTCTATAGGGTCTCTTGTGGAATGGTCTCACTCCATATGTGGCAATTTTGCTTATTAACAAACCCGTTAAGCCAAAAATGCACCTCATCGCTGAACGCAATTTTGCGATAAAATAACGGGTCATTTGTCAACTGCTCTAGAGCCTGATTTTCAAAGTAAATTTGGATAATTTCGTAGCGTTGTTCAAGCGTGAGTATATTCTTGATGATTTGTCAGAGTATACTGAAATAAATAAAAAAAAGTTTCATCAAAATTTAAAAAAAAACCCTTTATAAAGAATTGAATGTATTTGTTTTGGAGTATTTAGGGGATGGACATCACTGTAATATGAAAACAAATTGAAATAGTTTTTGCTCTGTTGGTAGTATTGAATTTGAATATCGAACACCGGAAAGTTACATTATGGTTTAGACCCAAAATGAATATATATCATTTTGGGTCTAAACTGTTAACTCCAAGGAATATGGTCATTAAAAGTACCAATAATAATAATAAGAATAAAAACCAGTAAAGAAAGTCTTCAAGTCGGGCGGGGCCGACTTTATGATACCCTACACCACTTTGCTAATTAAGTAGAGCTCCACATAACAATTAAAAGTTTTTATGAGAGAATTCAATCATACACGTTATGATTATAATTATAATTTTAAGTTCAAAGGACTAAATATTCCGAAGCATTTGTATCTTTTAAATTCGGACTTGTATTGCCCATTTGGAGCATAATTAATTTGAAATCGGATGAAGATATATATGGGAGCTATATCCAAATCTGAACCGATCTCGATAAAATTTGGCAAAGATATTTCTGAGCTTTATTTGATATATTTCCCTGAATATCGTTGTTACGGAGTGCATATACGGTTGTGGGTAACAAATATAACAAATCGGATGAATAATATATATGGAGGCTATAGCTATATCTGAACCGATCTTCACCAAATTTGACATACTAGCTTCTAGACTCAATTCGGTCGTAAGTGCCAAATTCCATCCCATTTGGACAAATATTAGACGTTTGGTGCACAATAAAAGGTAAATCGGACGAAGTTATATATGGGAGCTATATCCAAATTTGAACCGATCTCGATAAAATTTAGCAAAGGTATTTCTGAGCTGCATTTGATATATTTCCCCAAATATTGTTGTTACAGAGTGCATATTACGGCGGCGGTGGACAAAAATAACAAATCGGATGAAAAATATATATGGGAGCTATAGCTATATCTGAACCGATTTCGATCAAATTTGGCATACTTATTTTTAGACCTAATTTAGGTGTATATGCAAAATTCCATACTATTCTGGCTCATATTACACGTTTGGTGCACAATAAAAGGCAAATCGGACGAAGATATATATGGGAGCTATATCTAAATTTTGAGCGATTATCTCCAATTTCAATATGGTTCGTCCTTGGGACAAACAAAAGATCTTTGCAAAATTTCATCTGGATCGGGCAATAAATGCGACCTGTACTTTGTTTACAAAAATACATGGACAGACGGACGGACGGACATGCATAAATCGAGTCAGAATGTGATTCTATGGAGATCATCAAAAGGAACTATGGGTCTATCTCGTTTCCTTTTGCCTGTTACAAACAAATGCACAAAGGGTATAATAATAATAATAATAATAATAATAATAATAATAATAATAATAATAATAATATAATAATAATAATAATAATAATAATATAATAATAATAATAATAATAATAATAATAATAATAATAATATAATAATAATAATAATAATAATAATAATAATAATATAATAATAATAATAATATAATAATAATAATAATAATAATAATAATAAAATAATAATAATAATAATAATAATAATAATAATAATAATAATAATAATAATAATAATAATAATAATAATAATAATAATAATAATAATAATCATAATAATAATAATAATAATAATAATAATAATAATAATAATAATAATAATAATAATAATAATAATAATAATAATAATAATAATAATAATAATAATAATAATAATAATAATAATAATAATAATATAATAATAATAATAATAATAATAATAATAATAATAATAATAATAATAATAATAATAATAATATAATAATAATAATAATAATAATAATAATAATAATAATAATAATAATAATAATAATAATAATAATAATAATAATAATAATAATAATAATAATAATAATATAATAATAATAATAATAATAATAATAATAATAATAATAATAATAATAATAATAATAATAATAATAATAATAATAATAATAATAATAAAATAATAATAATAATAATAATAAATTGTAAGTTCTATATATAAATACTTCGAAATATAAATAACAATATCATTTTGATTATAAATTGACCGGAACTGCAATATAAGATGGAAAACGTCGACCTAGAATACATTTTTCGTGGGGCAAATGCTCATTTTGCGAGAGCATAAGTCTGAAACGTCTGAACTTAAATTTAAAGATTTACATACCCCGAGAAGCGGAAAATCCAAATATCACATCATTTTCGTCATATCTGACCAGACATAAAATTGACTTGTGCTAATTTGGACTCTATTTTGATTTCAATATACAGATTTACAATCATATGGGAAAGTGTGTAAAAATGTGTCTCATAGCAATCAGAAACTTTGTGTCCAGGTTGGTTTAAATTAAATCCGTTTTATGGTATTTTGATTCGACCGTCGGTCTAACTGCCTGCTACGCATGATTAATTTTGAAAGCAGAATTCGATTAGGTATATGTATATATCTGAATTATGGATTTCCTTACAAATTTTAAGGCAGTCGCGAAAATAGGAAATTTTTATAAAGAGTTATTTTTTAAGAGCTTTAAGAAAGAAGAAGTAAAGAAAAAACATGAAGTTAAAAAAAAAAAAAATTAAATCTTTATTTGAATTGATAGTACAGTCCATATAATTTAATATTTGAAAATTATTTCATGCAAATTTTGACCGCGACTGCGCCTCAGATTGTCTATCTGCGTAGTTCAATTTTGACATATTCTTTTCAACTGCTACATTCCGCAAGGATCTGGCCATATAGTGTAGAGTGATGAATTTGCCATATGGCTACAGAGGGTGTATATCATTTGATACGGCCAAAACGTGCCTCATCGAAATAACGGTTTTAGACCCTAGGTCTCTTTGGACCAAATCTGTTTCAGGACATTTGGAGTCGATGTAGAGAAGTCCGTCCGTCTGGCTGGTGCGCATAACTTTCGAAGGGAGTGTCCGATTTGGTCCAAACTTATTACATCGTAATATTATTATCAAACTTAGATCGAGTTCGGAGATGGGCAATATCGGTCCACATCTCCCATAAAAGACCAAAATTTTCAAAAAAAAAAAAGAAAAAAAAAAAAAAAATCACCCAATCCATCTTTACACTAGACCTTGGGTTAATACAAATATTTTTATTAACCCAAGGTCTAGTGTGAGGATGGAATACATCAGTCCCCTTCTGGTACCTCCCCCACAAAGGTCCAACATTTTGAATATCAATGAAGCTCATAAAACGCGAAATTAATATCCGATTCCATTCAGACTTGGAACATCTCAATATTTCTATTAAGACAATATCTGTTATAAAGATGGTAGATATCGGATTATTCCCTCTGGCACTTCTGTCAACCGATTCTGGTACCTCACCCACAAAGAGTCAAAATTTTCAATAACAAAAACGATCATAAAATCCGAAATAAGCATCCGGTTCTCTTCAAATTTCACATATCCAATTATTTTTACTGACACAAGATCTGCTGTGAAAATAGGATATATCGGCGCACTCCTCCTAGCATTTCCACCATCCGAAATAAGCATTCAACTCACATCAAATTTCACTCATCCAAAAATT